CAACGCTACACATAAAAACTGATGATGGTGGAAAAATACACCGAAACGTATTTTGATTGATAAATAGAGACAATAAATGACTGAAACCCACGAATTGATTTTGATTTGGAATTGAAACACAGTCAGGAAAGTATATATTATGGAAAATGAGGAAACAACAAGTTTGAGTTGACAAAATTTAGAAAACTCTTAGTCTGTATTTGCTAAACTTCCTTAGGATTGAGGAGACTGAAGGAAAATGATGCGTTTTAAAGGCGCCATAATATTTGGCACTCCGCACCTAAAATCGCCGTTGTTTGCACCCTTAAAAACGCTTAAGTGAATTTTTTAATAAACTTTTGGGCTCAGAATCGCGCCATAAAACTACTCAAAACAGAGTATTAAACATTATGAGATCAAGCAAAACGAAACTGTGCGAATCCACAAATGCACTTGCTGAATTAAAATTACCTGGACAGACTAAACCACTGGCGATCTTTGCGTGCATCGACTAATTAATAGCCCTAATGACTATAAATAAACTAATTAACAAAATGAAAAGCTGTTGATCGTTAGCAACATGGCCATGATCAGACCGGGATTCAGTCGCATTCTAGAACCGTTAGGTTTTTTTCGATTTAATTAATTAGCGAATTTGCGATGGGTTTTTGGCAAACGCCAGAAATTATCACGTCGATTCGGCCGGTTACAAGCAAGGGCTTTAGGTACTGATGATGATGATAATCGGGCCAATTTGAGTATTTCAGGTCGGATTAACAGATTGCTGGTTTCGAACTTTAACGAATCACTGAAGAGGATCAGAGGCCATCATAATGGTTGTATCTGTTTGATAACCGGTTATTTCATGAGGTTTCCCAGGAGGGTTAATTTATGATTATTTAGAAGGAAATTTTGTTGTAAATGCACATTTTCTGCCTTAAATGTGACCTAAAGTGTACATTGAGGTATTGAGTATTGCATCATTTGAGGGTAGTTTTTGTCCGATTTTCAATGAGTTTTTAAATGGTTTTCCGCTTGATGCTGAACATGATTTCATTGATTTTGACACCGTTTTTCATTTTCAAATGGTCCAGAATCTTTAAAAATTGCACAAAATATTGAAAAAGTCTTCGTCGGGATAAAAGCGGGGTCAACTTTCGACACCTTTTATTAAAAAAAAAACATATTTCAAAATGTTCTTCACTCCAAAAATTATGATTTTTGGCCTCAAAAATCGCTAAAAATGGGCACATCTTACTCAAAAAATTTACCAGATTTTTAGGACATCAGTTGCAAGCAATGAAAGCGAATCCCGAGTCATTTTGAGTAATAAATTCATTTTAAATTGATTTTCATCGGAAAGAGATTCCCAAATAATCAACATTTTCTGTCTATTTTGAACGATTTTTGAGCGATCTTCAACGGACGATATTTTCCTTATTTTCGACCCACAACTTTCATGTTCGCTATTGAGCGACTTCGTAGGTGGGAAACATTCCAATAAGGGCAAAAAACGCGATTGCAAAATTTT